TGGTATTACTTTTCGCGTATCAGATGCTCTATAGTGTGGTCGTCTCCTATGAGTGTGAATTCAGCAGCTGCTCCGAAGTGGGCGTAAAAGCAGTGGAGACAAGTTTACATTTATAGTATATCTATATGAATGGAATTTGCTTGGGAATTTTAGGATGAGTATCGTCGTGGTCGAGCCAGTTTTTAGGATAATAACCGTTTTGATAACAATGGGGAAAATGCTTTTAATGTGGTGACATTCAGATGAGAAACTCAGTGAGGAATGTGTTACTGGTGCCATGTGGAGAATTCCAAGATGAAGTAGTGCATCCCGATAACATTGGAGTTTCGCAACCCGTTTTATGTGGGGTGGTGTAATTCTCGGCGAAAAAAGTGCTGTTATTCGCGGTGATATGCAGTAGTCGTGGAATATGTTTTTCACTAGTGTTTTTTCATATCACTAGGGTCGTGAAACTTTATTATAGGTTCCTGAGTGATTCGCCTCTGAAGTGACTATCGAGTTTACTGATGGAGTTTCTGAGGCATCACTTTTCTTATAGGGAAAGTTTGCTCTTGTTTTTGGAGTGGCAGCGGAGCGATGCATGAAAAAAGTTCAATTGTATAGCACTCGTTTTACTTTAACGGAGTTGCACCCGTTTTACGTGAAGCGGCGTAATGCGATATTCACGGTGATATGCAGTAGTCGGGAAATATGTGTTTCAAATCACGGTCGTGAAACTCCAATATGTAGAATATATGATATAGCTGATGTAAGAAGAATGCGTTTGTCTGTAATATTCTCTAAGACGTATTAGCTATAAAATACAATGCAATATTATAAGACCACAATAATAGTGTTGTCGCTATTTGTGTTGGAGTATGTGTTGGATTTCCTCAGCTGAGCTCAAGAGGTTACTCATTGATTATAGAAGTTCACATAGGATGCAATAAGAATTCGCCGTAATTTCTTATCATAATTTTCATATTGTTACCAACAGATGTTGTTCGTTGACCATGTGCATATTTTTCACGCTTGGGAAAAGCCACCCGGAGCGAATTAAAATCCCCTCAAAATTTCCTATCAGAATTTTCATATTGTCACCAACACATGTAGCTGACCATGTGCATGTTTTCCCCCAACATTGCATCAACTGCTATGAAAAATTGAGGTTATTATGTTAGATTTGTAATGTATTTAATCCTGTCGGAGATGATGAACTGAAAGTGTGGTATAGCTAGCAGTAATTAAATATCAAGTTTCATGTGAAAAAAGGATTTGGTTTTGGGATAGAGGGATAGGCGGAGCGAAGCGATTCACGAATGTTGTTTTTGTAGTTATTGTTCTGGTTGGAGTTTTTACTGATTTTCTACTATGTCGTTGAAGGTGAGGAAAGGGTGGCGTATCTTGAGGTTGAGCGAGCAAGATACAAAATAGGTTCGGATGTGTAACTCTTTCAGGCCCGAGAGCAGAAGCGACTTAATAAGGAACTTGATGATATCCGTTCGCAATCGGAAGAGAGTTCGATAAACGCTGATATAGTTGGAGATGATCTCACACACTGGAAGGTAGTTCTGTGAGGGTCCCCGGTTCGATCCCTGGTGCCTCCTTTTTTTACGCATTTTTCTGGAAATGCACAGATATCGTTCAAAACAATGAAGTTTCACAACCCGTCTTACGTGAAGTGGCGTATTAGTCTGGGAAAACGCGATGATATGCAGTAGTTTTTTTGTGAAATGTATTTTATTGTTTTTATTACTTTTATATTTTTATTTTTAAAAAATATATTATATTTATTTATTTTTTTGTTTTTTTATTGTTTTTTATATCACGGTCGTGAAACTCTAGGGTTTTCAGGAAACTTGAAAGGAAAATATTAATTATGTTTATATCTATGAATACAATAAGTTTTGGTATGCAATATTCTTCTCTGAGCCTCGATAGCACTCCCGGGCTCATGTGAATTCGGGTTCACACAGAGTATTCATCCGTTCTAGCAGGGATTCCGCGGGGTGCGGTAGTGATTTTAACAGTGTAGTCATAACATTATTATTAACAGTGTATTGTCTGCAATTCGACGAATTTTCCAGTTAGAGGTAGCTCATTGGAAAGGTCTTGGAGAGCGCGTTCCCAATGGGATCTTTGAAGGCTGTTTGCTTTCCTTGTTTTCACCGTTGTCATAATTTTTTTAATTTCAGGGCCATTTAGATGGCCCCCCTGCTACGCCCTACGAGGGAGGTCACTTTGTGATCGATATTACTATTCCTGCTGATTACCCGTAATATAATATTAATACCACTCCTTCTGCAACGAGTCTAACATTCAGATATACACCACCAAAGATGAAGTTTGATACTAAGATATGGCATCCTAATATTAGCTCTCAGACAGGTAGTAGTAATGGTTGTTGATTTGTAAAAAGCGCGCGCCCGGAAATTATAACTACAGGTGCTATTTGTCTCGATGTTCTTGGAAAGGAGTGGTCACCAGCGCTTACAATCCGTACGGCTCTACTGAGCATTCAGGTGAGAACGTTGGTATTACATATTATTAGTTTTGAAAAACGCGGCTTGAAAATATTTGGAATATTTGAAAACACGTCACGTGTTTTACGCGTTAATCATTGATCATATGTTTTTTGCTTGAGTGAGACGTGAAGTATGTTTTTCACTAGTGTTTTCCAGTGTAGGAAATATGCACATGGTCAACTAAATGTGTTTTCGAGCGAATTTTGGGAAATTTTTTATTGATTTTTCCTTTTTTTACTAGTGTGGGAAATATGCACATGGTCAACTAAATGTGTTTTCGAGGGAATTTTGGGAAATTTTTTTATTGATTTTTCCTTTTTTTCCTAGTGTGTGAAATATGCACATGGTCAACTACATATGTTTAGGGAACTTTTATTCATTTTTGTATATTTTTACCCGAATTTTATATTGAGGAAAGTTCTGATGTGAAAAGCGAAAATTTTTTTCAGGCCTTGCTGTCTTGCGCGGAACCCGATGATCCTCAAGATGCTGAAGTTGCTAATATGTAATCGTAACGGAGAGGCAAAGTTCGCTCAGTCGCGTTTGTTGATTCCATCAATGAATTTTACATAGGTCCCCGGTTCTATCCCCGGGTTGGACATTTTTCCGTCAAAAATTTTTGCGCATATATCTGCAAGCTGTTTGCAGA